TGACAGAATAAAATTATATATTTTTACTTCCCCACTCACAATGGGACAATTCTATTTCTACTATCTTGGGACTTTCACATAGAAAGCATAATTATTTTATGTTGTGTAATGTAAAGAAATGCAATTTTAAGTGACAAATAGAAGCTTTATTAAATTTCCATTTGTTAGCCAAACACACAACTTACTGCCTACAAAGCATAAACCAATATATTATAAGCTTTCAACATAAATGTATATACAAAGACATTCAAATGGTTTCACATTTCATATTTAGTACCCACAGTAAAATAGTTCATCATTTGTATATGCACTTGTTTGATTACAAAGATGTTTGCACCACTACCTCCTCGGGGCTGTTAGTGGTGGCCCAGTAGATGTTCCCTGTGGCTGATGGTAAGAGTGAATTGCGCTCATTAGGGTGTCCACTCCCTCTTTCATAAGCCTCTGCACAGACCATGGGGACTGGCACCCAGGTGGTTTCATTGAACATAGCATAGTCCACGTGGTAGTGTTTCTTCCCCACTTTCAGTATATCGTGGAAACGCTGACCCCAGCAGATGTCTGCAGGAGTGTAGGACGTGCGTGTCTGATGGAGCATCCCTGTGGAGTCCGCGGTGTAGGTGAAGGAGACTAGCAGCTCAAATTTCTTCCTCTTCAAGTCATCTGGACCTATTCTGTAAAGGGGACTTCCTGGTTTTAGTTTGTGAACAATTGTTGTGGGGGAGACGAGAACAACATGTGGGTTCTCGAGGTCTAAATCCTGGTACAGCATCACAACAGAACCTCGCTTCTTCACATGCCGGACAAGATGGGCCTTGACGACTCCCTCCAGGATGTGGTTACCCCTGAAGTCTCCGAGACGCCATGACACACACAGCACCCTATTCCGCAGGTTGACCACTGCGGAGCTGCTGAAACGCACCGCCTGAGACCTCCTTTGGGCAGATGCCATTTTAGCCACGATGATGCCGATGATAATGGTGTCAAAAAAGCAGCTAAACAGATTATGGACGGTGACCACAATAATAGCCCCAATGCAATTCTCAGTCATTCCCCGGTTGCCATAACCAATAGTTGCCTGGGTCTCCATTGAGAACAGGAACGCTCCAGTAAAGCCGCGCACGTTGTCCACGCAAGGATCGTTATCTGAACTCTGAGTGTCGCCATGTATGTGGGCAATGAGCCAATAGCAGAGACCGAAGAAGATCCAGGAGAGAATATAAGAAAGGGTAAAGAGAAGGAACATCATCCTCCAGCGAATCTCTATGAGGGTGGTGAAGATGTCCAGTATATATGGGCTCCAGTCTCCAGGCGGCTTCTGGAATGCCACCAGGAACCGGCCATCTTTCTGCATGTAGCGGAGCCGCCTTCTTTCCTTTTCATTTTTCTTGCTCAGCGTATGAACTGAGGTGTGATTGGTGTCAATGATATTATCTTCGCTTTCAGTGCTCATGTTGGTAGCGAGTGCCTTTCAGTCTCCTATGGAAATAAAAAGATGAGATGGAAATAAAGGTTGGGGTTGTATTATTTTAGATTGTGGCGTTATTACAACGTCCTCATATAATTTCCCTCTGTAAAGCATGGCTGTTTTTTCTACTATTATTTATATAATCAAAGAGAATGTTATAAAACTTTGTTTTAAAACATCCTACACTATAAAAAGTTTTGCTTCATTTGCAGTTTTACATAAAATATGTCGTTATACACTCGTCTTCTACTACTACATTAGAGCCACAGGCTGTTATCTTTATGCCCTTTAAACTGAACAGATCAATGATAACTTTATGCTGCAATATCCAGAGGTGTTTTATGGGTAGTTTTTCCATGTCAGTCATTAGCTTCTTCTCTTTGTTTTGTCCTCGATAAGATATCGGAAAATTTCCTTTCCTTTTCACTGCGTTCCACATAGAAGCATGTTTTACTCCTTAACCTTTCCTTTAACAGTTTCAGATTGTGGATTTCTGTGATGGCACTTGAATGCACCTTGATGACGAAAACAAATTATTAAGCACACTAGAACACACTTTGGTGATCATTGTCAAGTGTGAACACTTCTAAAAGTGGTGAAACAACACAGTGCTAAAGACAGAAACAGCAATCCTAAATGACATATCATTTAGGATTGCTGTTTCTGTCTTTGTCTCTGTCTTGGGTAAATCTACCCAATCCCTGGCCCAACAGAAGTGTGCAAGATGTAGACTTCCGGTAAATTTCTGACCCAACTCATGAGTTATGAATTTTGACCCAATATTTGGTCAAACTAACCCAACATATGACCCAACAGCTTCAACCCAGAAATTGGGTTATGAAAATAACCCAGCATTTTTTACTGTGTAATGTCACTATCATGCTTAGGTTTAGTAATTTAGGTTTTCGGGCATCTTGCAAACATTGAGTTGGCTCTAAACTAATCTGTACATCAAAGCTTTTAATAGTCAGACTAAATCTGCTAAAAAGCTTAACTTGGGCAAAAAGGTCTACAAACAGTTTTGAGCTTAAAAGCCCCCTCATTTGTAATCTGTGGACCTTACCTCTTTTATATTTTATTTCAGTCTGCAGTCTTCCAAATGTAACCAGAAGCAAACAAGGGGGACATTTCCTTAAAAGTGTAAGAAAAAGTTCAAAGAAAGTATTTATTCATTTAGCTTATTTTTAGTACAAGCTTAGGCAATTACATGGAATTGACCTCAGTTTGGTATACTTATTAATCGGTTTGTGTTCCTGTGAAGGTAAATTATTGACCAGTCATCACTTCTAATGGCTTTCACCTCCAAATGTTACCTGAAATGTCCCCCTTTTGCAGAAACACACAGAACAAAAGCCGGCACATTTCTATCATTTTATTTTATTGACAGCTCACTGATAACATGTCCGCTATCTGGTTTATCTCAAAGCTTCTCACTGATGAAAAATAAAGAATGTTTTTCCTGTCAGTCAACCTGAGATTTTATTGCCTTGCTCAGTCTGATGACATGTGGCTAATGTTTATCGCAGTTTATGATGACTGTTCTATCATACATTCTATTTTAACACTTCATACGGTTTAATTGTCCCACCAAAGGAATAAGGATTGCAGATTTTGTTGATTATATTGTGCACAGTAGTGCTATGTGTTGTAAAAACAGTGTTCTTGTTAGTCAAACATTATCATAAGCCAAAAAAGGCTGCCTACTGTTGGTGAGTAGCCAAAGTATGTACTTAAGGTTAAAACAAACAACAACAACAACAAAAAAAAACATAAGAATGTCTATGAAACATTGAAATTCCTGCTGCAAAACTGTTGAAATATTAAACCAAGCATAAAAATCCAGCAAAGTTTATATCAAATTTTCATTTGATCAATTAGAAATATTGTAAAATATCATAAAATACACAGTCAATAGATTTTCTCTTCATTAGAGTGGGTAAAGACATTCAGGTCTAAAGAAAAAAAATTAAGCAGGGACATATTGACCATGGAGGGATTAAATCTTCTGAGTTTCTGCTTAATCTTGTGATTATTTTCAAGTACAGATTTAATTTGTATTATTTAACACTTACTGTGTATTGTCTGAGTTACCATTTTTGGCAGGGGTTGAGAGTAAGATCACAACCCCAAGTGACACTGAAACACACTAAGCTTAGGTTTTAATCATGACCCCACAAAAAAAAACACTATTATTCTAAATAATGCATTTAATATACCCAAAACATCATTTCATTAATGACTTCAATTCTGTTTTCTGCTTTAAAAACTAAAACATATCTCACCAAAGCTGGATAATACATATTTGTTATAATTGTTGACTTAAAACGCATTTATGTAGTTATTTTTCAATAAATCGGTCTGACCAGACAAATAAGAAAGACTTGAATAATCAACCTACCTGCCTTGTAGAAATCAGACTGGCTCTGGTGTCACGAAGGCCATAAGCTCCTCTGAGCATTAAAGAATGTGTGCTTCATGCGGACATAACCTTCAAATGGTAGAAAAGCTTGACTGACTTGGTCCTGAGGCAAAGTCCCATTTTGTTATTCTGATATTACTGCAATCATTTCCGCCTCAAAGCTCATTGGACACTCTGAGGATTTATGACCTATGGAATATTTTAGAGGTTCCTCAAGATTAAAAAAAAAAAAAAGTCCTTGTCCCCACATGGTAAAGAAGGACTACTTTTTTACAATCTGTCTAGTTTTTCAAAAGACAACAAAAACAAGCAATTGCATTGATATTTTCAGCATGATATTTAAGCTATTTCCTTAAAACTTCCACAATTCATTACTCAGGAGGTTAATCTTTCTTCAGTCTGGTAGAAATTCCTTCATGGGAACAAGGATTTTCTTTGTCCCAATGGTGTACAATGCAGTTCTGATAAGACAAGATCACACCAAAACCAACGTGAAGAGAGTCAACTTTGAACGCCTCTTTATAGCAGCAATAGAGGGTATCTAAGGTTGCTGTAAAAATAGGCCGGCGACACCAAAACAACCTGGTTGTGTGCTTAAGAATAGAGTATGACACAGTTATCCATATTTGGAAGTTGAGCTATCTGATTAACTACTAGTTTTGCAAGATGATGAGTGAAAACAGATAAGAGACAATCCATTCAGAGATAACTGAGAGGAATACCTTATCTATTCTGTGTCCTTTAGAGACAATGGTTTTATTATGGTTTTATTTATTATGAATGGATGAAAATAGACACGCAGAAAAAAATAAAACATGGTTTTATTTAGGAAGAAAAAAATAAAGTCACTGAAAAAGAAAGAAAATCAACATAAAACAATTACAAAGTTCTATTTTGTGTATGTGGATGGATGTACAACTTTGGGATTTGCCAAAGAAATGTGTTGCTACATCATTAGGTTTGACAAATCTTCACAGAGACCACAAAAAAAAAAAAAAAAAAAAAAAAATTAAAATAAAAAATGTCCAATCTGATCACAGAGTAGTCAAAAAATTTCCCATGAAAGTCTCGTAACATTGTTCATGGAAATATTTTGTGAATTTTTAAGGACTCTGGCATTTGAGAGAATCACGATCATACAGAGCATTGACAGAGTACTGCATTTATGAGCTCATTTTTTTTAAATATAAGCCAAAACAGTGTCAGAAGTTACTACATTGGAAAAAAGGTGCAAATACTGCATTTGGTTTCTGTGTGTGTCACGTCAAACCAAGTCAGGCAGGAGTCCTGTGTACACTAAAGAACAATGAAATTAAGAAATTAAACCATTAAACATTTTCCAAAATAATCAATTAGCTTTCATAAGGCGTGCTATCAGAGCATGTATCCAATTTGAAATGAACTTCAAAGGCTTTCCACTTTTAATAACAAAACTGATTTCAGATTACTGTAAGGTGTGTTTGAAATCTCAGAGCAGCTTTGCTTTGCAAAATAGAGAGAATGGAATATTAGTCCCTGTTTCCTAATTAACTTTATTGAACTGAACAGACAATAAACTGCATGCATACAAACAACAAAATGGACGGTACTTGGCAATTACACAGAGACAACTGTGGCTCAATGGGAAAAGTGGTTGTTTTGCAATCTAAAATTGTGGATTTGATTCTAACTTCCCCTTGCCACATGTTGATGTGTCCCCCAAGGCAAGGCACTAGAAAATCACTATGCACATTAAATCATTATACAAAGAAACAACGAGGAAGGCAAAGGTGTAGAGATGAAAATACTTACAAAAAATGATGTTATTAAACCTATAGGTGTCTACTGTTCCCATAACCTGGTAAAAAACAGCCACTTGTACTACACTTTGCTTTGTACAGAGGGGTCGGGGCTCCCTGCTGCTGAGAAAAAATGCTTCCTGGCGGCTGTTGAGGTTGCAAATGTTACCCAGTTGCTAACGTTTGCCTTTGACTTATGTAATGCTCCAGTTCGACGCCAAGAAGCTTACCAGAAACTGCGTGCGCTGTAAACCGTCTTGCACTGCAAAGTGCTGATCCAAACAAGACGGTTGTTAATGTATAATCAGTATCTGAAAGCCTGACCAACACGTACTAAACTTCCTCCATTGCTCCATTGCTACATCGCAATGCAGGATGGACACAGGCCAAAAAACTCAATAGACCACAGACCAGTGGGAACTGATTCTTGGCCAGCCAGTAAACTGCCACATCCATTCGCCAACTGTGGAGTTATGAAAAAAGACAGTTCAGGTGCAAATGTTGGCCGACAGAAGCCCAAAAGCTCCCCACATGCCTCCTCACAACACCAGACAATCCCCTTCCTGGGATTTCATCCTTCCCTTTTACTGTCATATCATTTGTGCATCACAAACCACATCTTTTCACATCAGTAGAATAAATGTTAGGCAGCTTAATTTAAAATCAACATTACGTAACAAAAATTGCATGTTGTTAAAGTTAATGAACTCAAATAGCCTAGACAGTTCTTGGTAAAACTGCAATTCATCAGCCAGCTGTCAAAGCAGTGTATTTAAAAAGCCACTCTTTAGCTTAATCATTGCAGTCTTAAATATTTGTTCTGTTTTTTATAATCACTTTTTGTGCAAGCTTGCCTCTCAATTACAGACTCATTGAGCTTGCTCCCCTCTTTTGCAGACACGTTCTTGTTGTAATAAGTAAGGAGCACAGCCTATGACAATGTCAAACACGACCTGTATGGGCTCTCCTGAAGCTACGGACAATGGGCAATACCACACCTGCGTTTTCACTGTTTGCACAGTCTTACTGAATAACACGAAAGAGATTAGCTGACAATGATTTAATGAAAGGCTTTTGTGGGCCAGTTATATCGTCTGCACCAGTAGTGTTCTGCCCACTGTTTAAGAGATCTACTTAAAGAGTCACATCAAGCTGAAAATTGAAAGGATGAAAGGTGCAGTCATTAATTTATATCTAATCTAACTATTCAGATAAAAAATAATAATAATAATTTAGACTAAAAACTAAAAGAATGGAGAGTGCAATCGTTCTGCTGAGTTTGCTGATTTTTGGTAAGTAAATTTTGGAGACTTTTAAAAGATTTAAGGAAGTCTTTCTAAAATTACTGGAACACACGTCTTATTTTAGGATGTTCCCAAGCTGAAACCGAGTGCACGACTCGCAGATGTCTGGCCCAAATGTTAATTAGTAAAGAATATTTATCTTCACCTCAGTCTGAGAACTGCACCTTACTTGTTGACGTTCCATTAATTGAGTACGAAACGCTATCAGTCGTAAGTATTTTTTTCCCACACACTCCATAGAGGCAAGAACAAACTGTTCTCTACTTTGTTTAAAGATTCTTCCAAAGCTAATGTAAAGCAAAAATGTATAACTTTCTTATTTTTATTTTAACAGGACATGAAGGAACTGCATCTAATGAGTCGTCTGCAGGTTACAATTGTATGTGTTAAAAATTAAACATTAAGACAGAAAGATAAAACAGAATCTTATTTTAGTGACTGAATTTTACTTTAACGTACAGGCATGGGTGGATCCAGAGCTGGCATGGAATACATCAGTACATCAATTTGAAAAACTCATTTTGCCAGTAGATAAAGTGTGGACCCCATATATCTCTATAGAAAATGGGTGAGTGGCACAACATCCTATTCTTAAAAGAAACTCAGTCCATTGATCTGCTCAAGCTTACTGTCTCTGTTGGGAATATGTGCAGAAAAAGCTCCATGGAGCATGATTCGCCTGATCTCGTGGTGTACAGTAATGGAACAGTGGGGCACAAGGTGATCATAATTGCAGAAGTGAATTGTGGAATCAATCTGTTCAACTATCCTTTTGCTTTTGATGTGTGCCCCGTTGGACTTAAATCCACCCCACCAAATGGTAAGAAATTCACTGATGCCATGATAACACATTCCATTCCTACCATTTTATGTTAGCTTCATATCCTTAAATTTTCACAGGGCATTGGCTAATGCATGCACTAGACTGCTCTGGCTTGTATCTATCAATTTACAGTACATTATGTACAATTTGAGCAACAACATTGATCTGTTTATGTATAGTTAAGTGAACTTTTTGCATACCATAAACTGAAAGAAGCTCTGTAGTACCATGTTCCCCAAACCCCATTTTAGCTAGCGACATTTCCACAGTGACATTAATTGTTGGTATTGGAAATCATATTCAAACCAATGTTTCCTTTTTTTTTTTAAAGGAAACAGCAAAAAAAAAAAAAAAAGGGTTTTTAAATTTCCTGTTTTTTTTTTTCTCCCCTTAGGGGAGTAAATTTTTTTTT